CAAGCTTTCTGTACGTGTCAAATCCTCTCCAAAGCTCTCGAGATTAATATTTTATAAGTTTTCATGTCAATTAGGTCAAATACTAACCTCATTATTCTCCTGTTTAAAGATTTCCAAACGCTCTTTCTGCAGACATATTTAATTATTTGGTTTCTCTAAGCTGTAGCTGTCCTGTTTTCCTGGTATGATGCTGTCTGGGACTTCAGCAGCACTGCCTGGCAGCATGTGGCTGACTTGGCGTAGACTCACAGAGTCCTTCAGGTGGGAAGAGACCCTGGGAGATCTCTACTCCAACCTGCTGCTCACGGCAGGGTCAGCTTTGAGGTCAGATCAGGCTGCTCGGGGCTTTAGCTGGTCAGTCTTTAAAGACCTCCAAGGATGGAGACTACACAACCACGCTGGGCAGCCTGCTACACTGCTCGGCTGTTCTCACGGGGAGCAAGTTTCTCCTTACATCATGTCTGGACCTCTCTTCTTTTCAGGAATGCCCACTGCCTCTTGTCCTCCCACCACTGTGAAGAGCCTCTTTTCTGGGTAGCGCTGCTGTAAGCGGTGGTGGACTGCTGCTGGATCTCCCTGAAGCCATCTCCTCTCCAGGCTGAGAGGACAAGCCCTCTTCCCTCAGTCTCACCTCACAGAGCACGCGCTCCAGCCCCAGGCTGTCTGGGTCATCTCTGGTAGGATGAAGGAGATACCTCCTGCACTCCCAAGACAGCCGGCTGGCAGACCTAGAACACTCTGACTTTCCTTTAAGGTGAATCCTGCGTGTTGTCAAGCTGTGGTGGAGAGCGAGGTCCCTGCAGTACACTGAGGCACGTGGTGATAAGAGCACCGTCCTCACGTCCCCTGGGTAAGAGCTCACAAATAGCACCCACTGCCTGGGGTTGTCACCCGTCCGTCCTGCAAAACTGACCTCCGAGAGCCTGTGTGTTTTGTCAGTTAAATCCCGCAACGTCAAGAGCAGCAGGTTAGGAGCGGGTCTTGGTGAAGGGAGGGAGAAGCGGTGTCATGGTGCTTGGTCGGGGTCCATAAGGAGGCCTACTTTATGAGGTGAACTGCAGAAATGCCATGTGGAGCAGCAACCCAAGGCTCCTAACCCTCTACAAGACGGGAGTGCCCCGGGGGCCCAGCCCTGGATGGGTTGGGACTTTCCTGCCGCCTGTGCCGCTTTGTGCCACGTTAGGAACGTTTTCTTCCCCAGAAATTCAATTCGCTTGACCAGCCCCCGCCTCCCCGTCAGCCTGGCTCTCGCAGGCGTGTGTGGGGGAGGGAATCCGCTCTCCCCGCGGTGCCCGGCACCACTTCCACCGCAGACGACTGAATCTCGCCTTCCCCCTCCCCGCGCCCGCCGCCATTTTGTGACAGGGCGGGGAGGGGGTCTGCGCCTTGAACCCC